AGAGACCCTAATGTTTGATGTGAGTAGTGTCAAAGCTGTCATTACACAGTACTGCACTGAGAAGAGGTGATAGATCCTAAGTAAACAGAAAGCCATATTTAATACACTTCAATAAAAAATTTCAAAACTGTGTTTGAAAAGTGATCTACATTCATGCTAATATGACATAGTCATATAGGACACATGGAGTAAAAGACGTGAATGCAACCTGACATTTCTTGACATGCCCAACACGGCAAACAATATTTACCTGGTGTAATTTTGTGAAACACATATTTCTGTATTCATTGGCATGATATTATTTAGAATTTTGATTACTGAAATGCATTTTGTTTGAGAATCTTGAGTTTAAGTAATTCAGCAAGTCTTTTTTATCTTTTGATAGCTAGGAAATGGAATGTGTCAGTCCTCACCAGTGATATGCCATCTGCAGGAACAAGCTCAAAGGTTTATATTACATTGTATGGGGATCAAGGCAGTTCAGGTCCTATTTTTCTTGATGGAGACAAGGGAAAATCATTTCAGAGAGGCAATGAAGACGCCTTCACAGTAAGTAATATATATTCATTGTATTGCCCTCTTGCATTCTGCCAGATCATATGACATTTCAAAATCTATGTGATGAAAAGACAGCTTTTTGCGTGGTACACATATCTAGAAAAGGTAAACGGGACTTAAATGTAGAGCTAAATTTAGTATCCTTTCTCACTCACTCATCCAAGTCTGATTTGATCCAACATATTTATTATCTGTTTAAGAAGAACTACTGTTTAACACATAGTGCCCAAAAAAAACCCAAGAAATATAACACAACAGATAATTGTTTAGTTTACAAATTTGAAACAGGGCTACAATATTAAAAATTAAATAAGGAAGTGAAGAATTAGGATATGGAGCAAATTTTTAATTTTGTTAAATACCTGCTACTTTATTGAAGTAATGCCAAATTTTATACCTGTAATAAATCTGCTATCTGCAGCTGCTTCTGCTCCAAGTGCCACAAACAAATTCCTTCCTCATCAGTCTTGTGGCATGGTGATTTAAGTGGTCCAGAATAGGTCCCCTATCACAGTCTGCATAGCTTGAGTGTATATATGGAATTGTCAGAGATTGTCTCTGGCAGGTGTCCAGTATAGGGCCATATGACAAACAGTTGCTTCCATTATTAGTATCCAGCATAGCAAGTTCCCTCTCTGAGAAAAGGTGTTTAATGGCAGCATTGATTAAGAGCTCACCTTTTCCACAATAGCCTCATGGATGTTTGGGACGCAGAAAATGCAGTTCTTTGCCCTCTTCAGCCTGATGGAGTTTCTCAGAAGAAGTACTCCTGATATAGTATGTCACTGTCCATCTGTGATATCAAAAAATCCCAGGTTGAAAGAAGTAGACAAAACAAGTAACCAGTTCTCTGACAGATAAAAAGACCCTCTTCACAACAGATATCGCTGGTTCTTTACTGTTGTAATTATTGCAATTAATTTTGCCTCCAATGACTTTTAAATGCAAAATAGGGAGGCAGTCACATTGTTTGGGATTTAGGATTCCCCTCTCAGGCAAGTATGCATAGCACTGAACACAGTTAAAGAGAGCCTACTCTGAAACGCATAGAAAGAGAAAAGTCTCTCCGAGTGCACTGTATGCTAGATCTCAGCTGTGGTCTGTCCTCTCTGCTCTGTCTCTTTACTGTTTATAACACTGAGTTCAGGAAGTTCATGATACAGGGAACTCAGTTCACACCCATCTATACACTGTCAATGAAAACATGAAAATGAGTTGTACAGAAAACAACAGAAGGACAGAAAATCAAGCCTACATTATAATGAAATAAGTTATACAGTGAGGAGGGAAGGCACTCATGGTGTGCTTCCAGTTCCTCGAAGATAAGCTTTTTATTTCTACACTTAGGTTTATACTAGTAGTTTAATAACCTTCACACGAAGTTATTCCCTCAGCACACTGCTATCTGCACTGGACACACTCATCCTGCCTGCCCTAGAGCTAATCTTTCAAATACAACTTTTAAAGTTGGTTTAATTGAAATTATTTGTAAAAGAAAATATCAAAGCTGAACACAATTGTTTCCAAATTGTAAGATATACACTCCTGGAGGGGTAGGGAAAAACTCAGAGGTAGGTGGGTGGCAAAAATTATTTTGTAGAAGGTCAGTGGTATAAATGCTAAACTCAGCCAGGTTTTAGGGTCAAGACAGTTCTACTTTTTAGACATACAGAGTATATTCATCTCCCACTGAGGCTAATATTCAGTGGGGAACAGCTACAGCAGCATTAATTTAAATGGAATTGTCAGACCAATGGGTTTTTTGAGGGTTATCCTTTAGAAGGCCCAAGGTTCCAATGATTTTTTGAAGCAAAATAGTTTGGAAGCACTTGTTTAAATATCAGAATATTTAATTCCTCCAAACAAAAGTCTCAGAGTTACTAAATGAATTTCTATTGCACGTCTTTTCTGTTTGAAAAATGTTTTGTGTTTCATTAGTTGTATTTCTTTTACAGATTAATACTAGAAATATAGGACATCTCTACAAAATACGCATAGGACATACGAATGCAGGAAATTCCCCTGCCTGGCACTGTGAAGAGGTAAAAGCAGTGAGAAAGAAGTTTATTTTTCCAAAGGCAGTCATTAGGACAGTGGAGTCAAAATATGAGTAAGAAAAAAATCCCTGGGATAAGTATATTAGCATCATCAAATGCTTGCACCTTCATTTAAGGGATTACTTATGAAGGAGCGTTTTTGTGTGGAACTAAAGGCAGCTTATGATGATATGTATTGGTTGGCTGTTTGCAATTTAGTGACAGCTGGACATTACGTTTCTTTAAAAATGTGTGGCTGGGCAGCAAGGAATACTGCTTAAGTTAGCTGCAGTTTCTACAGTCTTTCTGTGCTACAGAGTGCCCAGAGTTTGTTGAAACCCAGAAAGTCACTGAATCCAGTCCGGTTAAGACATCTCCAAACCCGTGGCTGATTCTGGGTCCTTATGCACAGCATAAATACCTCAGAGCTACATTGCAAATGTTTCTAATTCTGTGTCTCTGAGGACAAAAAGACAATAACAGGTTCTTCTCTCTCCTTATGCAGAAATTATACCTTGATGCAGGTATAGCAAATATAAAAAAGCAAAGAGAATCAACTAGTTCTGTTTCAAGCCTCAGTTGTGAAACACAAGTTTTTGGACTGGAAATTAGAGTAGGTGACTTTTATCCTTAGCGTCCATGATGTACGATGTGTGCCAATTCTATGCTATGCATGCCTGAAACACTTCCATCTTTAGGCCAAGAGTTTCTTATCTTTCAGTTAAGAGGCAGAAGTTTATGAAGAGCTTTAGAAACAGCTGGTAAGCTCAGTGTTAAAATTATATTTCAAGGTATATGTATATCTGTGTAATGTAAAATGTCCACTGGAGTAAAATGTTCATTGATCGGTGCTCAAACTCTGGCTATTTGATGCTTGTTTTTATCTGAGATTGCATCTCAGAAAGAAGACTAAGATCTGGACGATGTTAACTGAAGGTAACATCAGGCTGTGAGTTCATACATCTAGCCAATGGCTGTCTATTCTGAAATATCGTGTCACTGGTAGTATCCCTCTAAGAGTTTTCATGATAGAATTCTAGGGGTTATATCTCTTTCAATTCAGGTGAGGATTGCCTGATTAGAAAACATAGGTATTTGTTTTTCCTGGAAAAGTAGAATGATGTAACCAGAATAGCATTTAAGATACTTTTTTCTTCTGTTTCAAGCTATTTTTGTTTTCATAAGTATGTGTGTGGAAGCAGTAAAAGGGTGAAAAATACCTCATAGCTTTGTCCCATGAGACAATGGGACAGGTTACCTGCAATTTCTACAGTGCATCTGAGTTAAGAAGCTAGAAAAGAACAATGGGTTTTCTCTTATGGAAAAGGTTCATTTGTATACTTAATCTTCGTATTAGAAGTTTTCGTTATCATAAAATCTGACTCAACAAATAAACCTTTGCAGGTTTGTTGTATGTCACCGTCTGTGAATAGAGGCTGCGCTGCCCACTTTGCATAAGACGGACATTTAAACTGGGAGACTGAGGAAGTCTGAAAAAACAAAAGGAAAATGAGAACTTATTATTCCCCTTCTTTCCACCCAGGTTATATTAAATGAAATGAACAATAAAATTAAAAATAAAAAAAATTAACACTTCAGTGTGTTCCATTATTTATTAGCTTATACATTTTAGTTGTCTCCTTATGGAATCTCAGTCAATCAGGCACAGTTTTTAGGGCATGATTCATCAGCCAGATCATTCCCTCTTTGCAACTTTGGGCAGAAGGTCAAAGAAAAGAAGTGCATTCAGCTGAACAGACCATACAAGTAACCTGGTGTTTTGTGTAGCAGAGAGCCAAAGGAGTACAGACATTGATTTCTACATTTCATAGAATAGAAACAACCTACAGGCATTTAATATCATTGTTCCTTGGGAAATCTACTTTTTTTTTTTTTTTCCAGGAAGAACTACAATTAAAAGAGAGTGATCTACAGGTGCAAAGCTTTTCTGGTAGTTAGACGCACTAGACCTCCCTCAGTGTTCTGCGGTTTCTATGTCTGTTACTGTACTGAGATGATATCAGGCCAGAAAATGTCCACGAAGGTGCTGCTTTGCTAATCTAAAATCCATTTTCAAGTTTCATCAGTAGATGCTGGCAGGCCAAGATGTGTCAAGTTTTTCAGACAAGATGAATCTCTGTCTTAAAATTTTAATATTCAAGAAGCAAAAGAGAGAAAAATGTTTCCAGTAATTCTGGGTTTCTTCAATGTTCAGATTAAGGAGATTAGATTCTGCAAAGCACAGGGTGAAACTACAAATAGGGACTATTATAATATACAACAGCCTCCAAAGTGCTTACTTTGAAGTACAAAATAACCTCCTTCCCTCCTTCAGCTGGTATGCATATGGTCCTTTTGCTGCTGCATGCTAGAAGTCAGACATGAAAGAAAATTTTGAAGGGCACTATGCCGGCCTCGACTGGTGCTGGGGCTAGCACTTTCATGGTTTGTTTATGTCACAAGCAGTGTTGAAGAATCAAAACCTGTTCCCTTAATTCCTGTTCTGATAAGAAAATAAGAAGCTTGGCAAGCATTGCCAAACTTCGAGAAGTTCCGTCTTTGGTAAGCCATGCCACCTAGTGCCAGCCCACGTGGATGTACCAGCTGGAACAACAGCTGTATTTTGTGGGAGTGAACCTGAGTTGGTAAACCCTGTTTCTTAGTTGCACAGAGTAACTTGAGTTTCTCTGTCCTGTGCTTTCAAATCTTACTGAGTGAAAAGTCAGACTAATTTTTTATCATACACAGAGCTCTACCTGCACAGATTTCAACAGCATCCCACACGTTTCTGTTCTGTACCATCTGGTGTCAGATCAGCAAGTTAAATTGGAATTTTTTGTGCTACTTAGGTGCAGTTGCTGAACCTTTCCTCAGGGGAGCAGTTTTCTTTCCCTGCACATCGATGGCTGGCTCAGGACCGGGTTGATGGGGAAATACCTGTGGAGCTTCCTGTTTTACAGCAGGGTCAGCCTATCCTTCCAGGTAAGCATAGTACCACATCAGCTAAGACAGACTACAGACAGCTGTTGATAGAGGTGAGTTAATTGTTTTTCATCAGGCCCTCTATTACTTTCTGGCTGCTACAACAATTTTTCTGTGCTGTTTTCCTGTGGTTACTGGGCATACTCAGGTAAAAAGTTAAGAAGCACTGGAAAGAAGATGGGAGAGTAATGCTTTGAATTTCACAGATTCCTCAAGGGATCTAATTCTTTGGCAAGAGTTTCAGCATGTGTGTTTGGTTTAATAAAAAGGCAATGGTAAAGACACCTCACATATATGTAACTACCATGAGGCCAGCACATATTTTCAATAATTGAGGATTATAGCTCCAGTATGACTATTGGACCTGCTGTTTTAGTTTTTTTCTGGTAAGAAATTAAAAATATTAATTAATAAGTGTAAGTGTGCCTTTGTGCTTTTTAATTTCTGGATGTGTAACAAAACTTTAAAAATATTTTGGAAGGCTATAAGTATTAAAATTTCCATTACTCACATGAAGATTGTATTGTAATTCTAAAGGTGAATGATGCCAAATGATACAAAAATTATTGGGTGTTGCTGCTGTTACCCTCTTTTAATGTCCTTCTCTACTATGCCAATCTCTGTCACCATGCTGTATGTTGTTGCTATAGGATCTCTATGCTTGAGCAATGGGAAGGGGGTGGAAAATCTGTACTTTTTCTTCCCTTCTCTCCAAATGGCATTGACCCTCTCTGGCCTAAGAAAATTACAAGGGCATAGCAAGATCAGTGTGTCCTAGGAGAGATATGGTTGAGGAAATAAGAATGCTGGGTCAGATTCCCATCCTGTAGGGTGTGATGCTAGAGGGGGAAGAGCTGTGATACCACTGGTATTATTTGTGCTAGGACTATGACCAGAATAAGATCCACCTGGAACATGCCTTCTTCTCTTCCCCCAAAAAATCATATCAGCTGCAGTGGACAAAATTAATGGGATGTGAGAAACTTCCATTCCAAGTTGTCTAGAAACTACAGAACCCCTTTTCCAGAATGTTTAATATTATAGCAATGATTGGTGATATGCATACGGCCCTTTGTGTTGAACTTGTGAAACAGAAATTGTAACAGGTATTTCAGTGGTAGCAGCTGTTGTGGGTGCAGCTAGAGGAAGAGGACGTAAATAAATTCGAGGGGCAGAAGTCCATGGTACAGTTACTCTTATAATAAAAAAGTGGGTGGTCTGGAGTTGAATTTATGCCTTTCTGTGATGAATGAACTCTCAGATTAAGAACCGGACAAGAAGAGCAGAAAACACAGGTTTATATCTCATTAGTATGTTTTAAGAGAAAGAAAATTGCAGGAGAGATTTCCTCCAGTGATGTACTTAACAGCTGCAAATGGCTTATAAAGTGCTGTAGAGAGAGGCCCGCCCACATTAACCACAATGACTTTTGATCTTGAATGGTCGTGATCTTCATGGTCATATCTTTCATGAGGGCATGAAAAGCCTCAGTCAGCCTGCTTCCTCACAGGTTTGGTTTTTCGGTTAGGAGATTTTAGTATTATTATTGCAGGGGGACATAAAAGCACACTGGTGTAAAGGTCAAGCACCTCCTAACCCATCCCTTTAAATAAACGTTAATTAATTATAATTAACATATTATATTGAACATGCTCAGTTTCCCTATGTGCAGTATCTCTTCTTCCCCAAATGTTCTCTTGTTTAGATATTCTGGGACACTGACCTCAACAACATCCTAATTTTCAGGCTCTTTCTGAGTAGCTAGTTTCCTTGTTTCTGAGATAGAAGATTTTTACTATCCAGTAATCTTTGTGCATAACAAGCTCAAAGGCACACTTACAACCATCCTCTCAATCTGCATTTTGTAGTTAACAATTTCTCCCTCAAACAAGAGAGGAAGAAAAGAACTTCTCTGCATTTCTATCAGCTTCAGTGTAAGAGGAGTCATGCTGAAGCCTTTGGAGAAGACAGTTTCATCTCTGACTTAGTAATTGAAAGGCAGCCTCTGTGTCTTTTTGCCAATATTATATTTCTGCATGAGTCAGTGAAGAGGGAACATAGGTTTTAACTTCAGAGAAGATAGTTTGATAACAGAGCAGTAAAGAAGTCTGGATTCAATGTGAAAGAGAGATGATAAGAGCCACTTTAAAACCAATTTCTGAATAAAAAGAGGCTGAAACACTCTCTGATTTAACATCCTTTTTTTATTCAAAGGAAAAACATGGGAGTTAAACTGTTAAGAAGTATTACATAGAGACTTTGTTGCTGTAATGCTGGAGGACTGAGCACCATTCATTTGACATTTTATCCTCTACCATTCTGCTTTTGTCCCCTTCTGCTCTGGTTTATAACACAAGTTTTAATTATATGCTGGGAATAAATCAGAGTTACACAGTGTTGGTAGCTGGTGGACCTTTGCTTTTCTTCTTGCAGAAACTGGAAAGTAAGTAGTTATTGAAGGAGGCTATTGTAGCAATAGAGAGGATTGTTGTGGTCCTAGACATGGGATTGTTGGTGTGGAGAAATGAATTCTCTGCCTCTGTCATGGTCTGTTCATGGGCCATCTGTTCATGTGGGTGCTGCAAAGAAAAATTTGGGCAAGTAAATAGATCATGTGGTGACCCGTGAAATGATATGGGTAAAATGCAGTATAAATTAATGATTCCTAAATGAAAACTATTTTGAATATTGAGGCAGGCATACTCTGGGAAAAATAGTACCTGATTATGCTGACAACTAAAGACAGCCTACAACTAAAGCTTCTGTGTCTTAAATGTGGCTGACTTTTAGCCAAATAGCAATAGCTGATCTGAAAATAATATTTGTTTTACCTCCTTGTTCTATCTTTCGTAATTCATAGGTGTGGGTGAAAGAACTGAATAATCTTAACCGTAAATAATCTTAACCCTTACACTTTCTAATTTCAGGAATTATAAGTTTGCAAATGTAATGTTCTACAGTTGCAGAGAAAATTAGATATAAAGAACACAGTTCCTTCTCCTAATCTCTATTCTGCACACTTTTCCATGAAATACCTAAAGGAAAGAATCATAGAATCATAGAATATTTCAAGTTGGAAGGGACCCATGAGGATCATCTAATCCAACTCCCTGCTCATCTCAGTAGTACCTAAGGCTAAACCACATGTCTAAAACATCCAGACATTCCTTGAACTCTGACAGGCTCAATGCAATGACCATTTCCCCGGGGAGTCTGTTCCAGTGACCAACCATTCTGTAGTGAAGAACTTTTGTCCTAAGGTTCAGTCTGAAATTCCCCTTACGCGGCTTCATTCCGTTAAGAGAACCACAATTGCCTAGGATGAAAACTGTAAGCATTATAAATACTTATTATAAAGCTGGGATGATCCCTAGGCTTATGAGAAGTGAAGAGAAATGTAAAAAAAATGTGAACGTTGCTTGAAATTTTAAGTTAGCAATTCTAAACCTCTGTGCTGGATTTAGTAATAGCATATGTCTATGGCACAATACTTCAGAGGAGCTTAGAGGTTCTCATCTCAAAATAAGCTATCTCTCATGCCAGAAGCAAACTACCACTAGTGTTCTGTGTGGGCACATTAAAATAACCTGTGCAGACTGTTTACCCTTTTAGCCAAATTGTTATCATTATCCAAACCAAATTCTTCAAAGATGGCTTGTATAGTAACATGCACAAAAAATGCCATGTAAGTAAATGAGAGATAATCATAAGAAAAATAAGGATAAAAGGAGAAATTGTAAACACTGACCAACCACTTAGCATAATTGCTGATATGGACTGATCGTGAATGAATTTTCACTACTTATTAAAAAGAAGAATGTTTGTCCATCAGAAGAGTGAAATGTGGCAGCAACCTCCTTCAGAGAATTACAGTCAAGCTTCATAGCATGTTTCAAATGGAAACTGACAATTGAATGATGATAATGTTGATGTTGTTTCGGACCCAGTGGTTCAGAAACTCTTTTCTGCTTGCAAGACAGAGAAGCACAAGAACATCTACACCTGGAAGAAGAGGTTGTGTGACAGAAAATGAGGTTTTATCCTCGCCCTTTCATTCTCTTGATCTAACAAATAATTCTTACCATATATAGGCATAAATTTTGCCTTTCCCATATTTATACTGAAGATTATGATTGCAAGTTTTTATCTTAATTCTGAGTTTTTTGGAGTTCCTACATTTGCATTTTACTGAACACAGTTTTATATTGATACATATTTTTATGTATCATAGTCTTTACTTCAGTTTCATTAGGTTTTGACTCAAATTTAGTTTTATTTGCATTATCCTTTTCCATTAAATAAATGATTTATGGAATTTAAGTCCTAGTTTTTTCTCTCTGAATTTATATCCTTTAAAGAATTTACATCCTTTAAAGAATTTACCCATGGAATGTAGAGAGATGGTAGTTACCTCATCCCTGGACACATTTAAGGTCAGGTTGGACAGGGCTCTGCACAACCTGCAGTAATTGAAGATGTCCATGATCATGGCAGGGGAGATGGACTAGACAGTCTTGAACAGTCTCTTCCAAGCAAACCATTCTATGATTCTATCCTATTGCATGAATTACTAAAATAATAAAACAAAGCAACTTTATGAGTTCCAAGGCCCTAGAAAACTAAAATTATGTTGCTACATTTTTGTCTGTTTGGTTAACTAGTGCATTGAAAATGTTAATGGTTCTGTTGCTTTTTATAGTTTTGATCTCACCACTTATGATGAAGTTAATCTTGGATTTATATTATTTACTTTTCAGCTTTATGATGATTTCAAAAGATGCTGCAGGACAAAGACATACTATTGTGAACTTAAATTCTGTTTGCGTTCCCCACAGTGACATCCTGGGACAAAAACCATAAATGTAACACCAAAGCAAGTTGTATATTATTTTACTGAATAGGATTTTTAAGGTTTTGTACACTATCTTTAACACAGATGTATTTGGACTCTACAGACACATTCCCAACTAGATGTTATTGTAACTATAATAGTGTTTGTGATATGAAAAGTTGTCATCTTTCATTGTCAGTGACTGTCTATGAAGTCCATGTGACAACAGGAGACCTGTGGAATGCTGGAACTGAGGCTGATGTCTATATTTCTATCTATGGAGAAAGAGGTGATACAGGTTCAAGACAGCTGCTCAGGTCACAGAAATCCAAGAAATTTTTAAAAGGACAAGTAAGTGAAAGACAGGGAATTTTTTGATATCTTTGGCTGGCTTTTCTCTCTCAGGTGGGTGGTTATTCCAAAAAAGGTGCAATTAGAAAGGAGATAATTACTTCATTTGGGAAGCATTCCAATGGCTTCCCAAAATTCCATAATTAAGCCCAAAATACTTTCTCAAGTTATGCCAGTGCTTTTGGAAGTCAGAATTTGCATTTATAACATAAGTAAGCTGTGTACTTTTGTTTTTCATTCTTCTAAAAATTTGATTTAATATCAAATAATAAATGAAATTGCATTTTATATCTGATTTTCTAATGTCAAAATCTGCTGTAATTTGTAATGGTTTAGACTATGAAGCTTTCAACAGGTTTCTCTTTCCTGACTCTGATCACATTCATTTGAATGGAACTACTACCATTAGCAAGTGATCAGGCTTACTTACTACTTCTATTTCAGGAAATCTGACCTTCATGGTTTGTTCTCACTTTATCATTAGCTGATATTTTAAGTGACCTTGACAAAAGAGTTATAAGGGTTTATGGGTCTTCAGAATTTCATGACTGAGGAATTCTCTGCTTTTTTAGATTTTACTGAAATTTCATTGATTGATTACAGACTGACATCTTTGCTGTTGAAGCTGTGCACCTTGGACATTTGTACAAGATTGTTATAGGACACAATGGTCTTGGATCAGGTCAGAAATATCTCTCTCTAGTCACTGAATACTGCCTGCAAATTTATTAACCTTTTATTGGAAATACAATATGTGATAGCATTTTTGAAGTGAAAGACAAAGGCTTCTAAGAAAACTGTTCAAATGACATAGTTACCTTATTGAATCATCACAGATTTCAAATATTTTGTGTTCATTTTCAAAATACTCTCAACCAATACGTTAAGGACATAATCTGCTAGTAATTTTTTTACTAATCCCTATGAAAAAACTATGAAGAGGGAGAATGTCTACCTGTTAAGACATTGATTGTGTCTTAAAGTTAAAATGGGCTATTAAAATTTTACATTGATTGGCATTATCAGTTGCACTCTAAAGATGCAGTTGAAGATTTTTGCTACACTAAAGTCATTAGATTTCCAATTAATGCTGAAACTTAAATTGCTTGCAGCCACAAGTTGTATTTTTCAAACTCTTGAGCCTAAATATTGTAAATCATAGCAATTCATTTTGAACCATGATAATCTGCTATCTAACTTTGTTGATATTTTTACTGGTAAAACAAACACAAGTCATACAATGACTTGTTAAGGAGCGAGAGATGTAGCCAGGGAGAGACCTAGCAGCTTGCAGGCCCATAACCAAGCCCTAGAGTACCTAGAGCAGGTACTGTCTTCTCTCCAGATATCAGGGTAGCTGTGACTCTAGCAACCTGTCAGTGGAGCTACAGATTTTGCAGTTCCAGGGGAAGACAGTAAGCTATAGGAAGTCTAACATCATTAAATCCATCAATCTGTTTCTCACAAACAAACTTTTTCTTTTTTTACTTTATTTGTTCTAAGGAAATGGATGGTTTCTGGACAAAGTTGTAATCAAGGATCCCATAACAGATTTGGATTATACTTTTCTATGTCACAGGTTGGTGGTGTTTAATTTGGGTTAGATTCTTAATAAATTTGTAACTACTCTCAGTTTTTCTCCTGAAATATCCCGTGAAGGTAAATCTGTGTTTCGTAAAAAGTAAGCTGACATGGTCTGATTCTTATTACGGCTCTCTGAGTTGTACCTGCCCCAAACCTCCGGTGAATTTGAGTTAATGACAAAGCAATAAAATATTCTGCCTGGGAACTTTCCATTCTTGCACCTTTTGAACTATTTAAGGCATGTTTTTTTCACATATTCCCCATATTCAACACCTTGTATCTGACACCAGTAGGTCCATCTGTTCTTCCATGTCATGCTATGCAAGGCAGAAGAGTGGGTTGCTGTCCCTCTAGCAAACTGTTCCTGGTTTACTGAAGTTAGTATGGAGATTAACGTGGGGTTCAGTGAGCTCAGGATCAGACTTTAAGATCCTGTGAAATGGTAATCACAAATGCAGCCACCTGACCACATCTCTTTTGCTCATTTGCTTTGCAGCCTTTCACTGAGCTGCCACTTAATTTGAAGCAGTATTAACTTCCCTTCCTTTGCCCCTGGAGATGCTGCTGCTCTGAATCTTCTGTTCTATAACTCATTTCCAATTTTATCTATGCCTGATTAATTCTCAACACCTTGCAGAAAGATTTTAATCGATAAAGATCAGTGCAAATATTAGGAATGGTAAAGTCCAGTCACGTAAGATTCTAGCTGCAGCTTGCCAGTGGCACCCCAATTCTATTTCCTCCTCTCACTTCTCTGAGTGAATAAATAACTGCCTGAGACAGCTCGGAGTGAGCGATGTGTACACTGAAACTGATTTATGTGTGAGTAAGGACTTTCTGCCTATCAGATACAGCACCTCATCCTTGCCTGACCTAATTTTGATTCTGTATTCTAGATGAGATGAACTGCTGTGAAGAGATCTATAATGCTAGCTTCATACATAATTTAGGGAGAGTTCAAATCCATTTCAGGCAGAAAAACAGAGGGTATGTTCTATTTATTGTTAGAACCTGATGCCGTGCTTGCTACTATACTTGAGTGTGTGAATGCTTTTGACTCAAACAGAGTTAGACTTAACTGACGTAAGCAGATGTATACGATGGCATTGTAAAAATATCTTTCAGACATGGTAAAAGTGATGCCAGTGTTGGATTTGCATCCTGCTGTAGTCTTCTTGCAGACAGGAAGAGCAAACATCCTGACCACTGTACATTATGTTATTGATCTGGTTTTATTGATATGAGTTCTCTGATTTGTATTAAATGGGTTAGGCCCTTGTACCTCAGTCCAGGAAAGCATTTACTTGTATTTCATCAAGAGCAAGTAAGCAAAATAATTTTTTTGTCGATGTTAATCTCTTTTCACTAAAGCTGGATTTTTGTATTGCTGTTTGTCAGCCTTGAGACTTTAATACATCGAACAGCAAGTATCAGCATCCAAGCGTCATGGATACATTACTGTGGAATTAGGCAATCAAGCTTACTACTGAAACAGGTTCTGGTTTTTAGGTGGCTGGATCAGGGGCAGGATGATGGCAATATTGCTAGAGAACTGGCTGTGACAGATGCCAGCACACTTCCAGGAAGTAAGTGAAAACTGGTGAGGAGGGGAACTCAACCTCACTGTGACTGTGTCAAATGGAATGAAGAAACTCTGCAAATTAACTACATTGTTTTTGTCTGCACAGGACAAGAGTTGGAACTCAAGAGAGAAGAAACTGTAAGAATGTACTTTTTTATTTTGATTTAAAACATTCAAATTATGCTTTGAGTGAATCAGGTCAGTTGAATGCTTTCTATGATAAATTACTGTGTATCATCTTCTCATAAGTCTTTTGTGTTTGTCGTTTACAAAACTAGTGGGCTGCTGAGAAGTGGAAATTTCAGAAAGGAAATACACTTCAATTTTACAACAGACTCACCCAAGGCTTCATTTGCCTCAACCCAGATGGCAGAGTGGATGCTCTTGGTGACAAGAAAAACAAATATGGTAAAGTATTTTTTATGTGGATTTGTGCATTAAAGAAACAAGAAAGGAGGACTTTAATATAGATATTCCTATAATGAATAGGAGTAGATAATTATAAAACTCAAAATTTTCCTTACTCAAAATATTAATACATGTATTAATCTGTGTTAACTAATGGCTATAAGAACTCAGAAATTACACGTCTATTTTACATAAAGACCACACACACATAAAAATTCTCATATAGTGTCTTGTCACTGGCTTTCTCTTACCAAAGAGAAACTTTTTGTCATCTGCAGTTTAGTGCTCCCACAGAACTCACATAGCAAGAACAGTTACTGTCTTTTGCACCTAGATCTATCTAAGCTAACAAATTCGAAATTCTAGGTATGGTTCATTAACAATATATATATTTGTGTGTGTGTGTGTTTACATAAATATGTAAATTCATTTTATTCTATTCTTGTAATTGATTTTAACGGTAGTCTACCAGTTCGTCCCCTTTATCAGCTTTCATCCTACTGTGTTACTAACTTGTAAAACATATCATATTAGGCACACATATTTTGCTACCTTTTTAGTGATGGAGCTGCTCAGCCTTTCTGGCATCTTCCCAGGGTCCTTACACAGATCTTTTGGGAAGGAATAGAATCTTTCAGGAAATGCCAAAGGGTGCATCAGGACACCACAGGAGTCCTCTAGAGACAACTGCATCCGACAAATAGACAACATAATGTACTGGTAGTTACTTAAAAGATCATCCGTTGTTGCTGGGAACAATAAAAATGGCACTGCTTCACCTTTCATCAGTATTTTGTAGCCATAAGAGGTAATTGTTTGGAAAATTGGCCAGATTTAAAATTTTAGAAGCCTTGAGCTACACTACAGGATTTGCTTTACAAATTATAATATGGATATTGAGAAAATGAATTCTCTTTTCTTACTTGAGAGCTTTATGTTCCCTACATCATCTGTTATTTATCAGCTAAATTCATTGCTATAGCCCAGTTCACTACGATGGAGTTCTCAGCTCCTTTTTATGGATTTTTTTTTAAACATATACGATGATAAAAAGAAATTTGTTCCTTATCATTAGCCGTCAGGGTTTTCCTCCTCAAGGTAGCAAAATAGACAGCAGTCCCTAGATGCCCTTTCCTGAATGAATGAGAAAATTTATTGATCAGAGAGGTCAAGCTGTGGAGTTAAACACTTAATTAATTCTTTTCCCTTGAAAATGATAAACCATTGATTGTAATTAAATGCAAGTATGAATTAATATACTTTCATAATTCTAACGGTTTTTTTGTCATTTAACTCTTAGGTTTTTTTGATGTAAATGTCAAAAGGAGAAATATCTATATGTTCAGCAGTCATCAGATGCCATGTCTTGCTCTCGCTCTTGTCAATGGCAATGTAACTGGAAAGGTAGGAAATGCTGCTACTGATTTCTGTTTCATAGTTACATGTCATTGTCTGATTAAAAATAAAGTTTTTTAAAATCTGTCTAGTAAATAATTGTACTTCCAATCAGATAAGGAGTGAAAAATTGAAGAATTAAATCCAGGAAATTGCCAAAGAATGGATGAATTTAGACATAAGGCTTTGTTTTCTCACAGTTTACTTTTTACTCTTTTGTAGGATATGTTAACTAAATGATTTGCTGCAGGAATCAAAATTCCAAGCTGTCATTTTTATTGGCTTGCCACATACTGACAAGCTACCTGGAATGCCCTAATATCTCCTATTATTTGGATAGGCATAAAATCGACAACTTGATTTAAAATGTTCGTTTTTCCTTTTTGTCTTTTCTAAGTAGCATGCCAGTCATAAAGCAGTTGATACAGTCCAGTGTTTGTTTTGATCCATTTTGATTTGTTTCATCCCATCTTCCAAATCTTACTATTGCCTTTTTTCTCACCACTTGCAGTGTACAAGTAGGTAAATGGAGTTGTAGGATTTAGTTCTTTCCTTATGATCATAGAATATCCTGAGTTGGAAAAGACCCACAAGGATTATCAAAGTCCAGCTCCTGGCCATACACAGGACAGCCCCAAGAGTCACACCATATGTCCGAGAGCATTGTCCAAATGCTTCTTGAGCTCTATCAGGCTTGGTGCTGTGACCACTTCCTTGGGGAGCCTGTTCCAGTACTCAACCACCCTCTGGGTAAAGAACCTTTCCCTAATATCCAACCTAAACCTTCCCTGACACAACTTCATGCCATTCCCCTGGGTCCTGTCACTGGTCACCAGAGAGAGGCAATCAGTGCCTACCCCTATGCTTCCTCTCATGAACATGAAGTCTCCCCTCAGTCTCTTCTCTAGGCTGAAAAAAAAAAGTTACATCAGCTGCTCCTTGTATGGCTTCCTTTCTAGGCTCTTCACCATCTGGACACTTTCTAATAGCAAACAAAACTCTCCTACTGATGAGGGAAGAAGCTGTTTTCCTTTCTCTTTTTCAATTTCTTCCCTTTATCTATGTAGTTAATAATTTCATAGTGGAAACCGGTCCCATTCCTCTTTTACATGATGTACACTAACATTAGGGGGAATACAGTATTCTCAGTAGAGTTAGGTTCCTCAGTGGGGATAGCATCAGGCTGCCAGGCAAAGTGTCAAGACCTCCTTGCAGGACTTGTTCATGTTCATTACTATAATTCTAATACAGAGAGCCCCAGTCTGTCAGTGTTGCAGGCCATCACATTGCAGTATATCTTACTACAGAGAGGTTATTAACTGGGTACTTAAATTTGAACTTTCTGTTTTCTATTTTGCTACTAACATGTTTTATAATTTTGAGCAACCAATGGAAAATCTGGATCTCCATTTTCTCATTTTTAGTTGTGCAAGATGTTCCTTTTCCCAGGGAGTATGAAAAACTTTCTGAGGTCCTTTAATAAAGATAGATAAATGTAAAACAAAACGGCAACACAAAAATTACGATTTACCTTATAATAAATACTTAATTATACTTCGAGAACATTCTGGCTCTCTTATTTCAGGACTACTTCTAAAATCCATACAATTTTTCCTTCACTTTTAAGTAGACAGTTTTTTGAATATGAAACTTTTTCTTCAGAAAGTAGTGACTTGGAAATTAAAAATTTTCCTAGGAATATTTATTCTTTGAAGTCTTAAAAATGCTGAAAAATTATTAGATTATGTTAGTCAGAAGTGCTTTCAGTTATTGGAGTTATTATTAGCATTTTACATGGATTAAAATCCTAGTTTTATTTAAATATGAGAATGATGTTGGAGTTGATAAAATATTTAAATATGTGTTTTTTCTATTATGTATTTTATACAATGGGATCATAGAGTCTTCAAACGTGAACAGACAAGCATGGAGACTGTGTTACTTTACTTTTTCGTGTAAAACTTTTGACTCTCTAAGGGTTTTCTGTGAGAACAATACAGATGAATGAGGACTCAGAGGCAAGAGAAGGTGGGCTGGTGGCCAAGAGTTACTGTGGTTCATTTCCTGTCTATGTCGCTTTTATTTTTCTTTGCAATGTTTATCAACTGTGAGTCTAACTCTCTCTAATTGAGGCACCCGGGTATGTTTTGTGTTATCATCAGATCTGTGTCCTCTCACAATGAACTGTTTCTGTGAAATTTCACAGAGTCCACAATTTAGGCCTTAAGCATTAGGACTGCAAATCTGAGAAATATAAAAATTTTTGGACTAGACTGGTAGTATGGTTGGAACTCAATATAAAAACTACATTGCGATACTCTCTATTTTGGATTAGTTCATCTAATTTATTATTCCTCCTTTGACTATGCTAGAGTAAAGACAAGGCGTGCTGTAAGCTCCGTGTTCACCTTCAACCAAATGGTTGTGCCATTCTTGAGTCAGCCAGCTACCCAGGTCACATTGTGACTTTCAATCTTCAAGGTGAAGTAGCTGATGAAACAACAGGATATGCTGGGATTTCCAAAGAGTTTGTTGTGCATGTCAAGGTAAGGTGGGCAGAGGGAAATTAAGAAGATACTTCTTAAATTTGCTATTATAAAGCAGACTGTATCTAACCAAGTGTCAGAGGTTTGCAAGCTAGAAGAGTGATCCTCTTCCACGAGGTGGAGCTCAACTACAGCTTAACAGGTAGGCAGCACTTGACAAGTTCTCCTTTACTGCTCTCCTGGGACGAGTGATGCCGATACCGCAGCTGGTACATGCAAATAGAGTGGGCTGTAACACAGGAAAGATGATATTATAAACTTCCCAGTAGAGCTTCGAAAAATAGGAATGTAGGTACACGCAGGAGAGCTGCTGTTGAGAAGAAACAAGTTCCTTAATTTGCCGTACTCCTTGTGCTCTTGGTGTTGTGCTGCGCTGCTGAGCAAGAAAAAGCAGGGAAGCTGCTGAGTAGGAAAGGATTTCCACTATTCTGGTTAGTGCCTACACAGAAAGCAGCAAATGTTCAAAGACTGGAGGTATACTTGAGTTACTTGAGACTAACTCTTTTATGTTTTATACAAGAACATGCATGAGTAAGTGCTTAAAATAAAACAATAGGAGCAATATCAGTATCACAGTTTAGTATGGAGAAAGGCTGTGCTATTCACAAAGGACTTCTTGCCTCTGATCTAAAGGGTGTGTTTCATCATGGTGCCATTATTCTGCTCAACACAAGTCTCTGCCAGGCTCTTTCCCTTAGACCTGATGGTAGCTGCAGTGGAGCAGGTCAGAAGCAGCAGGAATCCTACTGGAAGGTGCATAAAATTGGCTCTGGACTCTGCATGTTTGAAAGTGTGAGAAAACCAAGAATGTATCTGAAGATCAAAGATGACCGGTGTGATGGAACAGTAAGCAGTTCTTGTTTGTATTTCCCTCTGCAGATAGCTTGAGTAAATTGTTAGTGATAGGAGAGAATCTTTTTTTACTTGGTTGGATAAAAATGGGATAAAACTTTTTTCAGATTTAAAATGTGTCAGATCTTTTCCTTCATTTGCCTAAGAAAAGATAGAAAAATATAGTAAGAGAAGCTGTCGGTGTCAATATGGCAGTTGATTGTAAAGATCTGATTATATTTTTAAACTATTGAGGATGTGGATGTAGTTAAAACTTATGTGCTGCAAGACAGATGATGAAGATAAAACCCATTAGAGAATAATTAAGATGTAAGTAAATGCATACTGCACTGACTTTTAAAGTGTGATTCTGTTCATCTAAGTTAAAATTCTCATATTTATATGAGTATTCTCGCATAATTTTTTTTCGGAGTTTAAGATAAGTGAGTATGAAATAGAGCTGTGTAAGTACTCAGATGTGAGGTCCATGAGAGTTTTTTCATTGACTCTAGTACACTTTGTTCAGACATTAAAATATTTGATCCATATTTTGAATGTAGGCTTTGTAAGTATCTTATTTTTCAGCAATGCTTTCACCAATGGATCAGGAGGTCTGGATAAAAAGTGAGTTTGGGTAAAGGTTTTGAAATTAAACTTGTAAGTGCTATGAAGTTGAAAAAAAAAGTTACATCTATTTAATGGATGTTATATTATGTAGCATTATCAAATCTGTGCTATCTATAAAATCTGTATATAAATACCGTACATTTTCTGAAATAGATATTTTCACATTCCTTAATCCTCTGAAAGTTGTTGAAGTGGGAAACTCCTTTGAATATATCCTAGAATTTGCCTAAATTCTAACATAAATCAGAATGCTTTCACTTGGCCCTTCACTTACCTAACTTACGTGATTAGTCTTTCTGGTCACAAAGGAATAAACAAGAATAAGGTGCAGGTATGCATGTAATAATGTAGCATTCTGTGAAGAATGTAAAGTTAATCTGAAATGTTATTGGAAAGTAGTAATAGTTAAGACTGAAGAAACATCCAGCTCCTGTAGCTACATGAATTAGATTGTTTTATTTATGTTTTTGTTTTCAACTTCTTAGGGCACAGGTGATGAATACTGTCACTTTAAAGTTGAGAAGAATTTGGAAACTGGATCTATAAGTCTAGAATCAGTGCAAAATAAAGGGATATATGTTGGTCTCCTGCCAGATGGCCAGACTAAACCAGTCGTTAACACTGGAGAGAGAAATATTTTTTTCTACCCACAGGTCATCAAATGTATGTGATTTCTTAATGGTTTGTAGTTTGATTTAGAGATTAGTCTTTCTAATTTTCTAACAAAATTCAAAGCAAAAGTGTAAAAGTTATATGGACACAATTTTCCTTGTTGTGTTTCAGTAGTTTTAAAAGTTTACTGTATGAACATTTAATCTCTGCCATGTATTTAGTTATCTTTACTTTCTTTTTATAATAGTAAATTATGCAGAAGTTATCAATAGTTTTACTAATAGCTTTTTGAAAATGAGAATCAAAATAAGTGAAAAGATAGAGATGGAGTTGATTTCTTGTGTATATTCCCCATTCTGCCTGCAGATTGTGGAAGCCTGGGGGATGTTGTCTTGCTGCCAGGTGTACCATAGTCTTTCCTGATTTTAGAAGGGAATTAGTAGTCTTTGTGAACTTACCAGCGGCTGCCACAAGAGAGGAGCCCTGAAGAAAAGATACAAGGACTCCCTGAAACAACATCTCAACCTTGGCCATATTGATCAACATAACTGGTCTACTCTGGCCTCCAGTCGGGAGGCCTGGAGACACTCCATCTATAATGCAGCTATTTCCTTTGAGAACACACGCAGGATCACTCTTGAGGAGAAAAGACAATGCAGAAAGAACTGTGTCTTGCAGAATATACCATCTAAGGAGTCTTTCTGTTGTGCCTTTTGCAATCAGATATGTCTGTCTCGTACTGGCCTCATAAGTCACCAGCGTGCCTGTAGCAAATATGAATAGAACCTTCCCAAATCTTTGTTCGCGAAGCCCAGCCATGATGATGATGAGTAGTCTTTCGAGAGGACCTTCTTGGCAATGTTCAGTTTCTTTTTTAATGATGTGAAATGTATTGTAGTCCCCCAGACTAGTATATTCATTATGCCATTCTTCTGTCCCATAGTCAGATTTGAGAGCTATTGCAGTCAAAATGCTTCCTCACTGGGGAGCTCACCTTTTCTAGTCAACTAGCTAAGACTCAGAAATTATCTCTCAGCACCCTCTGGGTCACTTTCCCTGGATTGTCTGCTTGTCTTTTCTCCTTCAAGAGAATGGAGTTTCTAATTTGGTGAAAAATTGGTTACCAAAGATAGCCAACTAACTTAGATTATAACTGCAGGGCACGCTATTCTACATAAAACATATTCTTATCTGGCGGACATGACTACAGAGATCAAGAAATGAAACATCTCATGGAAAGGCTAAACTGGACAGCAGTTTGAAACTGAGAAGCTGGTCAGATTTTTTCCAAACACAAGTGGAACAAGCTTATTCTGAATGCAAAGAGAAAGTATCAAAACATACAACTAGTCTTACTAATTGCTTTATGTGTATTGTGATCAAGACACAGAGAAGCATTATGAAAGTCACTGCAATGGCATTCCTACTGTTCAGTCCCTATTTGCTGCAAGGTGAAAAAAATATTTTGATCACTGAAATGATCACCTCATAGAGATAGGGAAATTATTTTCCCTTGTTAGATTTTGGAAGAGCAGTGTTTTTGATAGAAATGTCACAAAATAAAGCTAAATGTTACTTTGTTACAGGCTTCAGCTCTTCTGAATCCTTGTTGTTCAGTAAAAGGAATATAAAAAGGAGCTAATATTTTCTATGACAGCAATAAATATTTTCTGTTTGCTTCATCTTAACAATATCAATTTGCTTCGTATTATTCAAATGGCCTCTAGCAGTTTTCTTTTCAACATTCCCACTCTTAAGAAAAGAAACATCATGGAGGTGGAGAAGTTTATTTTGCGAATTTTATTCATATGTCATTGTTAAATTTTTACTTAGATTTTCAAAGCATGGAATGGACTTTAATTGGCATGCCTGATTTTTTTCCACTTTTTGTGGCATTCTGCTAACAATAAAATCCTATTGCTTCTAGCTGTGCAATATATAGAGAAAAGATTTTGATATCTACTCTGTTGAATAATAATGAGTTCTTTTAGTAGTTTCTGAGCAAGAAAAAGCAAATGGCTTGTAGCTAGTGACAGAATTTACATTTCATTGTTCTAGTTGGCCGGGAAGAACCTATGGGAACCTCTGCAGCACCCAATCAAGAGAAGAAAGACTTCAGAGAATCTCGATTCCAACCAGGAAAAGCCCAGAAGCTGGTATCTCAAAGCCCTTCAACTCCCCCATTCTCCAGTAAGTGACAGGTTACAAACTAGTCATGATACAGCATGGTGTTAAGCCTGCTTTCTGTACATACTTGCAGACACTTATCTCAAAAAGGACAATGAATGACTTTTCTAGATTGTTGAATCATGCATACAACATAAAATACATTGCCAGTCATTGGTTTTTTAAGAGGATATTGGAATATGGTTTATTGAAAAGGTAGCAATCAGTAAATTGAATAACTTCGCATTAATTTTTTTTTCAAGGAACTAGTAATCTATCTGAGGACTATTTCCGTGGAAATTAAGGGGTTGTTAAGGTGCAGAGGCCAATTTAAAGCTTGCTGAAAGTAATGGAATATTTCTTATTTATGCTGTCTCACACACTCATGTTTCCAGCTTTTTGGTTCACTGAAGGAAAGAGGAAGACTTTCGTGCATTGCATTCTAGCTTTATACCTACGTTTTGGCAGGTAGGAACAGATAAACAAAGTTCTGGTCATCCTTCTGGAGTGATGTGTTTTTCTAGAATAAACTGCTTTCTTCTTTAGCTACATATTGTGGTTTAGAAGTAACGTAAAAGGTCTAAGACAACAGTTTTAGAAACATTAATCATCCTAGTAATGAAACAAAATGTGATTAAAGAACTACACAACTAAACAAAACAGGGAATGATACATCTCTGAAAGAGTGAGGATGGTTAAATTCCAGACATAGGTGTGAATCATTATCGATTACTGTTATTTATTTCTGGCAATGTTGTTTCCATTTTTAGCTCAAAAACACCCACTTTCTAATCTATCAGACTTCATGTATCACTGTGTCACTAAGCCTTCCCAAAGTGTTGTGGGTTGTCAGCAAGTGATGAGATATGCTGTGTCCGAAACACATGGCAACAATACACAAGCCATTTAACATGTTTTCAAAGTACTGGATGTTTTTAGGGTTGGATACAAAGGATCCTTTTATAAAAGCAACATCTGCAGTGAAATTGGTTACACAGAGTCTATAGCACTTCGTAAGCAGTTTTTCTGGCATTCATAAATGTGGACTCTGCTTATGCTAAATAAATAGAAATATCAAAGGTACTCTGCCCTTCCAAGAAAATGGTCATTTTTAGTAAGATATTTTCACTCAAAATACTTTAAAGGTAACTGTCTTTTGATATGTACAGCTGAACCTTGATTTTTAAACTCATATTCATTAAATTCTCATTTGCTTTTTTTACTCCCAGTTAGCATTTGAAAAAGGGTGATCTTTGTACTGAGTATACAGTCCAGCAGTAGGCTTAGCAGTCGAACTCAGGGCAAATTAAATCCATCATTTTTATGTCTGTGTCTGCTAACCTGTGTTTTGGTTTCTGTTTTCCCAAATAATAATTGATTTAGGATTAATTGAACTGGAAACTGTGCTACAGTAGTTGGGGCTTCTCCTGTTGCAGTATGAGTGCAATGTTCCTCAAGAAACTTCTTTCACTGTATAGAGAGGATGTCAGATCACAGCTTCAACTTAACAGCTCAGGTGTCATTAGCTTCCATGACACAAAAGCAGTCTGTGACCTCGAGAACATCTCTGTGGTTTGGTATTAACAAAATGTACCACTGAGAAATGCTCTCTATATCCTCTGTGTTCCTTTCCTGTATACTTTGTGTACTATTAGATGCTGTTAATTTTTTAATATATTTTACTTACAAGAGCAAATAAGAATCAAATAAAATCTGATCTCATTTCCACTCAGTTAACTTTGGAAAGAATGATACACACAGGTATAATAAAAATACATCAACTTTATTGCCCAAACTTTTGCTCTAGAGATTAATTTTTCTGATGGTTCATTTTAAAAGTGTCACTCAATCGAATGGTATTCTGAGACAAAAAAATTTTCTTTTTATGTTAGATTTAGGATAAGTAAATTTAAGGTTATTTTTATGAAATAATATGTGAAGAGTTGTGACTTCATCATTCACGTGCAGGCCTATCAGAATGAATTTTTATTGCAATAGATTTACAGCATGGTGTCATGAAGTGTGTAAACTCCCATGACTAATGCAGGGTAACCATCAGATCCTCTGTTAAGACAGCAATATTTTTAGCCTGTAGCAAATCAATGCAACTGATTTCCATTTGTAAGAAGAGCCAGTAAATTATGAGGCAAAAAGCATTCTAAGTCTGTGAATTGTTTATGCATTAAAATTATTCCAAGTGGTAGTAGTTTGAGGTTGCAGTAACTGCTTTGGGTAGCAGTCACCAGAGTATGGAATTCTTGTCCTAAACACATGGAGTAGCCTGGGATTCCTTATGTTTCTTGAATATCTGTGCATTTTATGAACATTTTAATCTCTTTGCTGCAAGAAAGATGTGGTTTTAGATAGCTGGAAGGAACTCTAGCTTTCTGAGTTACAAATAAGAAGTTATTCTAAAGTGAAACCTATGTTTTCCAAAATTATATTTGCTCAACCGTTAAAGCTGTGAAATTTATTCATAAAGTGGTACTGTGCTGTTATTGTCTCATTCATGTACAGCCTGCCTTAGACCAAATGTTGGCACTGTATGCATAAGTGTGGTTAGGCAAGGATATATTGAGCTCCTTTTTGATTTATTTTACAGTATTTAGTTAATATTTAACTTGAAGAAAGTTAATTTCCTGATTTTTTTTTAAATTCGAAATGTAAATTGTCTCTATTCCCGGATATGTGACTCTGCTAATCATGTCCCAACACAAGGCATTAGAGGAATAATTCTATTAATTTCTAAATGCCAGACTAAGGAATCAGAACTGTCAATTTAATGGTCATAGTTGTGCATCATAGTATCCTTACTCTACTCCAGAATATGTATAAAGACTATGATGATAATGCATGCAAGAGATAACTTGTTATTTTTCAGTTGATTCTTGTTGCTCAACTAATCAGCACATTTTGGTCTAGACAAGAAACATAAATCAATCTTTTCAGACTATCTCACTTGCCATGAAAAAATACAATACCCCTGCTGTTATGGCCTCTTTATGTACTGAAGTTACAACAGAGACTGGAAGTTTCATGTCAATTTTCGTCTCCCACAAATATTCTGTATTTCACAGAGGAAATGAGAAATCCCCAAGGTGGTGAGCGTTCTCTTCCTTCAGATGATGAATGGAAAGTGTCAATACTGACAGGAAATGCAGGAACTGAAGCGAATGTTGCTCTCTGGATATATGGACACAGAGGAGTAGCTGGACCAATAACTCTTGGCGAGGACAACAGGAAGCAGCTGTTTCTTCCCAGGCAGGAAGATGAATTTCAGGTAGCTAATGAAGGCTAAGAACATTATTTTAATGTAGACCTTTCCAAGGATTATTCTGTCATGTGAAAAGAAAAAATGTTTTTCTCCTACATATATACTGTATAAAATAAATCTGCATCAAATCTCCATGAATTGTGTATTAAATCAGCTTGTTATATATCATAGGCAACAGAAGAAATACGCTTTCTTTTAAAGCCCCTCTCATATAGTTGACCAAAGGAGATAACTGCAGGAGTACATTGATTTCTTTAAGGCAATTAATTTGAAACTAGATTTAAAAACTATTCATTTCTAGACGAACCGTGTCTGATGTAAGACTAGCATATCATTTAGTAATTAAAACTTCAGGTATACAGTTTTCAAAGCATACTATAAAATGTATGCTGTGGAACCGATTCAATTAAGGAAGAAAACCCTGCCATATTTTAAAGACTGAAGGGCCAGATTTACCCATGGAACAACTAAGAGTCCAATAAAAACTACATTTGATCATGTCATGAAAACTCAGGGTTTATGCTATAATTTAAGGATAACCCCACCTCTATTGTAATGAGGAAATTATGTCTAGGTAGGCTGAGAGGAAATTACCAAAGGCATTAAAATTTATGTTTTGCTTAGATCTTTCTGTCTGAGACGCATGTAACATTGCTGTCCTCAGCTAAATAAAGCAGAAGTTACATTCTTCACATTTTTTTTCTGCACTCCTCAACTCCTCTAATAAAAACTTAGCACAACCCAAGATTGTTAATGTCAATAATATTAATAATAATACTCTCTATGAATAGGGCATAGGCAGGAAGATAACCTATCATAAAGTTCATTTTCTGAACATATAGGCTATATATTATGATCCACAGTCAATTTTGTTCTCCTAATTAGTGAATAATTTATAAGCAATTTTGGGTAATGGCATGTTTGCAAAGTTAATCCATACATTCTGAAGGGATGGACCAATTTCTCTTCTCTAAAATAGATATGGTCCATTATGGCTGTGTGCTGCAGATATTGATCTTGTGAGAGAGCAGAATTTTTCTCTCAGCACCTGGAGCTACTACTATGGTTCTTTACATCACCCTGACACTATTGCTTTCAGGCAGGAAATAGCAAATGTCACTGAAATGCTTTTCACTCTTTAGTCTGAAGTAGATAAAGAAAGAAAGAAAAGACCCATGAGTAAGAGCTCTTTCTTCTATTTTTTCTCTTTAAACCTTGTCCTGTATTTGTTTAACAGAATAGGTCTTGAAATGAGGATAGGAATGTAAGACATAAAAAAATTTCATCTTCTTCTTCTTACCATTTCCATAAACTTGGTATGTTTTCACTGATATATTCTAGAGCAGAGGATACCAAATTTTATTTTTCAACATAGTCAACTTAATTGTAGCTCTGGCCAGGAGTTATAGTAAGAAAACAGCTTCTGAAAGGCTGTAATAAGACAATTTGGAATCAGTGTAAAAATCTTTAACATTTCACTTTATCAGTGGTATGCCCAACTATGAAAAATTTGAGTAGAACTGTCTTGAGAAATTAAAGCCATTTATATATGACCTTCCCTTTCTTATCTTATCCATGTAAGTAGTCATTGCCTGTCTAATCCTTCTTAAGATTGTGCGTGAGAAAAATCAAGCTTACCAGAGTGTTTCTTCTGGAAGACCTCTACTTGTTTAAGGCAGAAATCACTCTTTTCATTTTGTCAAAGTCCGCTACATTTTGTTTTGTGTTGATACATGAAATTATCATGTAACTCTAAATTATCATGTAAGTCTAAAGAGAGATTCATTTGAATAAACAGACAATATGATAACGTATATTCAGTGAACACCTGCTCTGTGAATGAGAAGACCACATCCCATATTATTGAGAAGTTGGTTAGGTTTTTTGTGAAATAGGGGAAAAGACAATAGCTGTTTTTTTCAGTCAAGTTGAACATATACCTTTACTTTACTACTACTTTAATCCCAAAGTTTCCAGGTCACCTCTAATAAGACTACTTTTAGAGAGAAATATTATGCAGCATAAGCAAGGCTATCAGAATCTGACTTGACAGAGCAAAGCAAAGTTAATTTTTTAATCCAGCGGTAAAGACAGGGAATATGTTGTCACATTAGTGCTGCATTTATTTTGTTAATGAAATTTTGTTAATGAAATTCAAGTTGATATAACAACTATACCAATACAAATAACAGGTGTTAAACCCACAGACTCTTTCTCAACCAACCACTGAGAGATTTCAATATGCATTTCAATGTTCAGGAAATCAAAGTTAAAAGTTGTTTGTTTTCAGAAATCTTTGACTAAAGTATGGCAATGCTGTGACTATAATGTGAAAATTTATTATACAGAAGTGCAAAAAGCCAAAAGCTGATATAGGAAATGAGGTAATTCTGACCTCTGAAAAGAGAAGAGCACTTTTTATTAGTGAAGATAAAGACTGGGTTGATAATGTTCTAGTATGTGTTTCTAAGAGAACGAAAACAATTTTTGTACAATGTAAATAGGACGTAAATGATGGAGAGGAATAGGCTGTTACCAACTTTTTATGAATAGAATTATTATTTGAGAAATAGCACGATAACACACTTTTCCTTTCGTAGCAGTACCTTACAAAGATCTAAAATTATTTATGTTTGCTTTAAATAATGGACAAATTTCAAAGTGGGTGTTCATTTGAAGTTTTGAAGATAGAGTTGCTACTCTATGTTAGTTCTCATAAGAGCACATATAATGCTTGAAAGTGCAAAGAAAATGCAAATGAATGCAAATCATAGTCAGAAGGAAAAGGTAGTATTGGTGACTTCCAAAGTTCTGCAGGTGTTCTACCATCTTTTGGGAGCTTACTCTTTTTATATCCTTCATTTTGACATACTAAGGTTTATGGTGATATTACTGTGTTGCATTATGAAAGATTTGTGATCTGTAGTTTAGAGGATATAATTTTGTGCTCCTTGTTGCTCTCATGAATGACCCTCACCAAATTTTTGTACTCTTCAAACTTTGAAGAGTTCAAATATCTGCCAAATCATTTTCCTAGCAAGCATTGTGGTTCCATTAGGCTGTGTCTGGTCAAACTGGGGCTCAGACAGAAATCTACTCAGACAAAACACAAGCAGTCTCTTTTCTGGATCCCGTACCCCAAAATCTGCCAATCAAATATTATGTGCTGTTCCTGTACACTCAGATACTACCATGGTTCAGAGAAATCTCAAACCAATGCAAAGAAATATATGTAATTTTATGTAGTTATACATTGTATTGTTCTGACTTTATTCAGGTTGAAATAAAAAGCATTGGGAAAATCTACAAGATAAGAATTGAAATTGTTGGATTACCAAATGAACAACCAGAGTGGAACTTACAAAGGGTAAGATTTTTTTAATGTTGATTTTTTTTCCCATTTTATTAATTTTTATGTTAATTAAAGTCCAATCTTTTCATAAAGCCATAGCTTCATGAATCAATAAATGTTGATTGGGATAAGTTCTTATTGCTTTGTGTTCTTAGATTGCTTTAGAGATGACAAAAACACTGACACAGTCCATCTCCTAAGAGATGGAAATATGTACAATTATTTTGCAATTATTCCTAATTCATGAAGACACCAATTTTATTGTGTCTTTTATTGCTGGGCTCAACAAAGTTTTACTTTCTCAAAGCTTGTCTGTACTCTTCAGTGTCTGTTTTGGCTATAAATTCCAGTTCTGAAAGATTGAAAATGATGCAGCAATTATTCCATGACAACTACATGCAAGGAATGAACAAGGTTTGCTTAAGAGTAAGATAAGTAACTTCTAATGGGCCCCACCACAGCTCACAATTATGACTGTTTTCTAGGGAAAAATGACCTGCTAATTTTTTTCAATTGAGTGAATTAAGACTTCTTTTTTGTTTTCTTTTAGCTCTATTTTTCTCGTGTTGTTTAGGGATACTCACCAGATTTAATTTATGAGAAATTCTTGTTAACACTGACACCCATTTAAAATTTATTTCAGAACTGAGATAAATATTTGTCTTCTGTTTCTTACTTTGAATCTGTAAAGGAAACAAGTTTATTCTTTGTCATCTGAGTAATCTTAAAAAGCCTGATTTAGACAACCAGAATTAGACAGTAATAACAGACTTTTTACATTAACACAAAGCTCTCATCTGTAACTGTACCAAAATTGAATGTAAGTATAAATATTTCAATTGCTCGAAGGATTGCAGGAGTCCTACTTTCCAGCCTGGTGATTACAAAATATTTCTTTAATATTTTGTTCCAAATTTCGTGGGGTAAGCCTGGGATTTCAAATACTTCTTTTCACAGAGAAAAAGAAATCATGTTGAGAGCTGTGTTTTTCTGACAAAGCAGTTAATATTTGCAATTGTTATGAATCAGCAGGGGGAGCTCTGCCAATAAATATTAGAGATTAGGAATCAGTGCTGCCAAAGTATTTCATATTAGAATAAATACATGCTTTGGTGTTAAAAGCAGTGTTCATTTTACTTGAAATTATATTTTATTGGAAAACTGAGATAAAGGTATCTTTTGCTCTGATTTCCTAAGTGTTAGAATTTGGATGTAAATACTTGTTTTCATAATTTTGTTTGCAAGGCTTATGCATATTATATGCACACTTGAAGTACAACTGCAGAAATATAATTTTTGGCACTGCTTTCCTTTTGGTAGTCAAGGCCTACGGAAAAAACCTTTAGCAAACATTCTTGTAATTCAAGACTAATAAAAACTGTTTTCATAAAAGAGAGTAAAGACTTTTAGTTATAGGAAACAAGTAAGACAGCTATCAAAATGTACATAGGCAAATAGCTTGAGAATTTGAATTCTAATTGTCTTCAGATGAATATATAGAGGGTGGTGGCACACAGGTTGTCTTTTTTTCTGCTGTAAAAGAGCCAAATATAATACAAATCGATTTAACATTTCAACATATCCTCTACTTGCCAAATTTCAGAAGGATGTAGATGATGAGTTTCATCCTGTTTTCATTTTAAAATAAAAAATGTGTCGATCTTTCCACATCTTCCAAAAACTCAGTCTGACCTAACATCACCTATCAGAAGATTTTCAGTCTTCAGTACTCCAGGCAATGTTACATAGAGATGATTCAAGGACAGAAATCAGACTTGGTAACATTTCTAATGGCAAACCCACAAATTTCAGTTTCAAATTTGTTTGTTGCAAAGTAGCGGCCAAAATAAGTATATTTTGATGCTGCAATTTGTGTTATTGTTTTCTGAGATAGAAAAAAAAGATGTACAAAACCATGTTTTGCTGTTGAGAAGCATGGCACTGAAAAGAGTGTACTGAGTCATAGTTGGAAATGCTTCTTCTCCAGGTGACACTACAACATCTAAAGAGCAAGAAAACACTGAATTTTCCAGCAAACACACGGTTATCAAAGAATTGTGATGGTAGAGGACTTCTCTGTGAACTTCCAGTAGTGGAAGCTGGAAAACCTATCTATCCAAGTATGTGTGTACAGTTATGTATATACTGATCATCTGGTTTTTAATATTAATGACATCTGAATTGGGGGCTTAGCAGTCTTAAAAGCAGATAGTTGGACTGATTTCTGGAGTATATTCCAGAAAATTAATTACAAATCAGACTTGCTGGCATTGTTATCACTAAGCTATAATAGTGAGTAAAACTAACTGTGATTACATGTAACTTGCATTTTCTTCTTTTGGTTATTTTTGGAAGTTGTTTTATACCATGTTTATGTCTACACTGGTGACTTGGAGCATGCTGATACAGATTCTGCAGTTTATTTGTGTATCTATGGAAAAAGGGGAGATTCTGGTCTAAGACTTCTGCATAAAACTGGTATGCCAGTGACATTTCAGAGAAGAATGGTAAGTCTGAAATACAATTTGCTTAGCCATAGAAGCATAATTAATAACTTATACAGGTCTTAACAGGTTCCTAATTAAAAAAAAAAAAAGAACACATAGGTTTATCAAACTAAAAACCTAAGGAAAATAGTCTTCTACTGATCCAGGAATTATTGGAATGAATAAAAACACAGGCAGGAAAAAGGAAAGAAAAATTATTTGAGGCCCCCATCTCAGGATGATGGGAAGAGCTGCCTATGAATTTAAAACATATCCTTTCAAGGTATGATGAGTTACAGCTGGCTCCAAATACGTGTACAGAAATTGTTCCATGATGTCAGATCTTAGTAGATCTGTTTGTTATTTATTTCTTTTTATGTCTAACAGTGTAGCTTTAATACAGGAGAGATCTGAAGTCATTTTTCTTTCAATTAATTATGTCCTAGCTCCTCCATAAATAAAATATTTTTATCAGCCTGATTTTCTGCAGTATGGTTGAATTTCAGGAGCTACTAAATTTAATGTTAACTCTGCCAGTAGCCTTCTTGTGACCCTCTATCAAGCCTGTTTCTTCCTTCGTGAGCTATTGAGGATTAACATTTGTATGTATAACCAAGAGTATCAAGCTGTTATTGGAACACTTACTTACAAAACAAAAAGCAATCTCTAAAATTCTAAGAATAGTAATAACCCACTGGGAAACTTCAAATGCATCTATACTATTTTAAAATCTATATTTTATGCCATTACTAATGTATGAGAGATAAAGTTCTATTCAAATTAAAATTCAGAATTTAAGTGGAATTTTCTGGGGGGCATTATTCTACCCAGATTGATAGTAAATTCAGCATATTATTTATACAGCGGCTAAGAGGAATGGTTCAAAGTGCACTTTGTTATGGAAATGGGCGAATGAAACAGTGGATTGTTTAGAGCAACAGAAGAGGAACTGGGATACATCATTTTATAGCAGAGACAGTTGAGTGCTGACTTGAACAACTTAATTTCATCCCTGCCACAGATATTCTACATTACGTTGGGCAGATCACTTAAAATAAAGCTTTGCTGAACGACCACTTTTTTCATGCTTATCTTTTGCTGAATAACCTGTTTAATTTTTTCTGAAGAGCCATAGCTGTAACTGAGATTCGTTCAAATAGTATTCTGCTCTGCACTTAGGAAGCTTTTTGAAATGCCAATAAATTCACCCCTCCATTTCTCAGTTGAGCACCCAAACCAGTTTGCATCTTTGGCAGCTTTTGGCAATAAACTCTGTGCTTTAGCTACATAGGTAAATCGAATTATTATGCAGATGGCCTTTCAAAAAGAAAAAAAACAAAACCACAGATTTAACATTTATAGAAAACTGGGGTGCTTTGGAAGAAGTTCAAAGGTGAAGTCATTGGGGAAATCAGTTCTGTTTCACTGAGCTCTTTGGGTGGTTGCTGTAAATAATGCATAGAGTCATAAAGATAATGAGGATAAACAGAAATACTGAAAAACTGCAGTCCTCCTTTGCACACATTGAGGCAGGAATCTTTCAGAGAGAATAGCTTGTGATCATATATTACCTATACACAAGGGATAACTAATGTTGCACAGGCAGTCTCAATTCTGCCATTTGCCAAGGACTGAGAACTTTATAGATATGAATTTTCCAGTGTATTTCTTTCCTTCATTTCCTTTTTACTGAAAAGAGTGATCTGGACCATTACATTCAGAGAGAGAAAGCTGTACACTTTTTACTGTGGCAGAAAATCATCAACCTGAACCTGATCAGCTTCATGCTCTTATGAAAACAATCTTTTCCAACTGTAAGCACAAGACTAAATGGATAACAAGGGGAGAGTGGCATGTCAAATTTCAGTTTCCTCCAGCAGAATAAAATGTAAATAGAGGAGGTGAGATTTAAAAAAGACAAAAGGATGACAAAGTGTGTTTCAAATAAATATCAGCAAGGGAAATAACAGCATCAACTCATTCTTATCTAGAGAAGAGTAATGGAAATGGCAAGGTATTGAAACAATATTGAAGGGTGTGTGCAGTGTTTTGGGTGATGGCTGAAAAAACAATTTATTTGGGATTATTAATACAGCTTGACTTCAGTTGTGATTTCTCATTCACTCTGATGTCACTAAAAGACATTTAACTTTTCAGATCCAAACTGTCTGGATATAGTCCAACTGTCATTAAAACCAATGGGAATGTGTACATTGTGAGAGTTAATCACGCTTTTAAAACATGTCAGTTTTCAGCCTGCCTCAGTAGTGGCAAATTGCAGAGTGCTGTCTCCTCTGTCCTCCAGGTCAATGTTTTTGAAGTGGAAGCTGTATCTCTTGGGAAGCTGCAGAAGGTGCTGTTGCGCTGTGAGGCCAATACCAAGCCCCAGTACTGGTACTGTGATAAAGTCGTTGTCAGAGAAGCCTCCAGCGACTCAGAATATGTTTTCAATTGTGAAAGGTAGTGTTTACAATAATAATCTTAAATACTCCTTATCATATATTACTAAAAGTGTTATGTCAGTCACTGTATTAAATGTGAGTTTTTCGGGGAAAGACAAATTTGGATTATTTTGCAGTTTCATTAAATCCATAACATGTGTTGTTCCAGAACAGATTGCTTCAGTTAATGTGCTGTATGGTCCATAGCAAAGGTTAAATGCTTATATAGCGTCTATGTCACTAGAGTACAGCCTTATCAGGATCGGTGCTGTAAGTGTGACTTACCTCTCAGGAAGGAAAGATAAAGCACACAAAAAGGTTCTAAATTAAGTATGTTTCTAAATGGGAAAGAAAACAGATTTGCTGTGTAGAAGTAGTATTCACTCTCTTTATGAACAACAGCATAGCTAGAGAGAGAAATGTGATACTCAGAATTATTTTATGGTTGTTCCATTTAGGTTATTAAATGAGCATCTTAAAAGTCAATTGAGAAATACTGAATTTTGCATGTTTGGAGAAATATGGTAATCCCACATTTAGAGTTTCCACTTTGCAGTCCATTTCATGGGTATATGCATCATTCAAGAGAAATGAAGGAAGTGTAGAGAAACAATATGACTATGTGTGACAAGGTACTAGAATAAATAATATTTAATTAATAATATTTAATAAATGCAGGTTGCCTAGTTATTTTGTCTGGATTTTAATGAATTTGTTATATAACCTCGAACAACTTCTTGCAGCTCCTGGTGTCACATCCTCAAAAACAGGAATAAAGATGCTGTGTCACCTTGATAAAACTCCAAAACTGAGATTTTTCTTCGATCAGTAACATATTTTTTAAATAGTAGTATAAGACTGAGGATTTTTCTGAAGTAGATTTGGATGCAGACCAGCTGTTGTTGGTAGCTGTAGTTGCTACCTTTCTAAAAAAATATAGGTAAAATTTCCTAATGGAAGTTCTACAAAGAAGTTAGGCCAGCTTCCTACCTCAGACACAAAAAATCAACTCTGTGTCATAGCTATCCTCCAGTGGGTAACATGGCTTAGGAACCATGAATGGCAGACTTTGTTGTATTAATTCTGTGGTAATTAACACCGGATGTTGATCAGCAAAAATTATTCTGTGATAGCCACTGTCAAAAAGAAACAAAAGTTGTGGGGTTTTTTTCTAACTTTTCTACAAGGAAACGCTACCACTGAAAAGGGGTTAAAATAGGTCAGTGGTGGGGTGAGGCGCAGCTTCCGTGTTGGCAAAATGTGAAGCTGAAAGACTGTGCTCTATTCAGGAGGGAGGAAAGCTTTTGCTCTTCAGTTTATTAATGTTCAGCCTCACAGCTTTACTTTACATAGGTGTTTTATGATCCAGGATATGAACGAAGTGCTGTCTTTGTTCTCATTTATCCAAGGAAACATAAGCATTTATCTGTCTTGAAAATATATTAGTTTCTGAACATCCAACAGCTCTTACTTGATTTCAGTTATATAGTATTTACTAGTTACTGACACCTTTTAGCATTTAGGATTGCAGAAAAGGCCTGTGTGATCAGGTTATAGCAGAAGTGATAGAAATAAGTAGTTGTCTAGTAAAAAAAAAATTATTTCTTAGGGACTGGTGCTTCTACGAATTGGTCAGCTAATATTTTCAAGACTAAAAATAAGGAACCTTCAAAAGTTGCTCTGGACTTTACTTGTCCAGTTTATACTGGAATCCCAACAGGCTTCATAGGAGACTGAATGCTTTAGGTCATTCCTGGAGAGTCCATGGAAGTGTACCAAGGAAATAAGAAACAGTAGCCCAGAAGCTTGCTGCATTTTTTTTCTGTAAAAACCAGCTGATCTTATAGCAAACAAGAGGAAGCTAAAACTGTTGATGATCCATATTCTGAATAAGAAGGTTTCAAAATTATCCATAGCCTTGAGTAACATGACTAAGAAACCTAACAAATGTGTGCCTTGATTTGTCTTTTTTCAAACTCATCTATCTGTCCCCTATTTGTAGGAGGAATAAGGAAGAGGAATATTTGGTTCCATCTTTGTTTTTAACACTGAATGGTGATTTTAAGAAATAGTGTGATAGATACATTCAAATTATACTTACTACTAAATCCATAGTACTGAAGATATGTTCTGTGCCATATTCGTCTGTTTAGCTACAGGAACAAGTACTGTAGTGCCACATGAGTCTCCTAATCTGATAGAGGTGAATTTTACAGTTACAAAGCTCTTATATTTGCACAAATGAAATTCTTTGTTGAGTCAAATAATTTCTATTTTAACATCTATCAAATCTAATACTAAAATTTTAGAAGTAGAGACCCTTTGCTGTTATATGTATTCAGTAGGAAAATCAGATGTGGATCATTCAGTTATATGGTAATATAGTGGAGAAAAATTTGATTCCTACCTGCTTTCTTTTTTTCTTTCTTATTCTTAGGTGGCTTCCAGTTATGTCCCAAGGTATAATCCAATCAGAAATTGAGCTGTACCCTCAAGGTAAGATTTATTGTAACTTTATGGAAATAAAGACAGTAATTTGTAATTTTTTGCCTCTGAAGAAATCTGGGCTGAATTTACACTGTAAATATCAAAGGTAACCATTTCGCTGCTTCCTTTGCTATATTTCTGAGAGAACACAATTTGTGTAAAATAGTATAATTGCTACAATTGATAGTGAGAAAGTAAGGAGGGAATGAATGAGAAGGAGTTTTCTTTTATCGGGTAAAACACAGAATGTCTTTTTCATCTCTTCTTTTGAACCTTTTCTTTAGTGTCAAAGGATAGATCCTCTATTAACTGATTTTTTTTTTGGCAGAGTTTAAAAAAAATCAGCATCTGAAAATTCAAGAGGCAAATGGTAAATGCTGCTCTAGTTTTCTTCTTTTAATGAATACTTTCTGTTTCAGAACTAATTGCTTTACACGTTTGTTGCCATTTGTATTTATTTTAAAACATTAATTACAGCACACTATTCATACATTTTAGTAAACTCTGAGGTTCACATTTTAATTTAAACAATAAATAACTTTGTTTATGCTTTCTTTTTATTCTGTCATTTTTCTTTCCATAGTATTAATTTTCTCTGCTTGTTTGAAAAATTTTTACTCTTCTAATACTTATTGGTGATCTATCTTAATTTCATTTTTTTATAGTTAATATTTTAATACACAATTAGCTCTCCTGGGCTATATATAGTTTTGTTCTCAACATTAACTTTTTGTTTTCTGTTCTACTTGTGTTTTCATATTTGTTCAGGTTGCCTCTTCTGTCCCTGCAACCAGAGCAAATTAAATTAAGTTTCTTAATAACACATTAGAATTTCTCAGTTGTGAGAAGTGCTTCATGCTGTAGGTTGAACAATGATTTAGAAGGTGTTGGGAGAAAGTTTGAAAATGTTTGTTCAAAATTTATTGTATCAATCAAGATATTCATAGAGACATAAATACCTTGTCCTAAACAGTGTTCCTATGTCAAGAGTTTAACAGTAAAATGTGTGCCGAGTTATTTTATAAATTATACTAGAATCCCACTATTATAAGGTTTATTTTGAACCAAAAGTATCTTTTTTCTTCTTCCTACCTATGCTTTTTTCAGAAGGCATTCATTTTTGTCTGTTCATCACTCTTTGTGCTTCAGCTGTTCTGCACACCTTGCTTTCTCATGGCCTGCACCTGGAGATCCTCCTTTTAAATTGGTCTGGTTAGTCATTTCTGCACCTATAGCTGGGTCTCTCTGCTATATTGTTTAAGCTGTGCAAATGTCTCAATCAGAGTTAGGCAGCCAAAAGCATATGCAACAAATAACGTCTTGTTTGGGACAGTCAGTAAAATGTGGAACAGTGGGAGACTTGAAATTGCGTATCCTACACCTAGAGGGACTGCATCAATTCCTGCTTTAGTGGTTCATCTGAGATTTTGTTCACCTACTTTTTTCCCATAAGCTTTTAATTATATCTCATCTTCATTCTATATAATTTTTTTAAAACAGAATTATTTTTCTGAGAACTAGAACTTTCTAGTGTATTGTAATGTTCTATAAAAGAAAAAAAATAAATCTAGAAAGTCATCTGTGGCAAGGTACCGCTTTCTGATGTCCCCAGGGAGGTACCTGGTGCTAGATTGCACCTTTTCTCCATGTATGCTAAAGGAATGTCATGTCATTACATATTTTTCTGTATTCTTTTCCCTTTAATGTGTATTCCTCTTCAGTCATTAAGGAACTCTTGGTATTCTACCTCATCAGAACAACCCCAGCTTTTTATGCCAAGAAGAATTACATTTTTGTAATACTGTTTCCAGCTTCCATTTGGAAGCATGTAATGCAATGAGAAACTCAAAATCAATCTAGAGGATTTAAAACCAAAACTTTTTTAATCATGTTTTTGGTGAAATTCGATTCCCTTTTTTTACCTTCAGAGTGGTACTTGTGTGCAAACCAGTTTAGTGATACTAAACTTATCCGTGGGAGGTAGAAGATAAGCTAGGTAGAATATACAGTCTCAAGAGTAGCAACTGCATAATTTTGAAGCTCCATTGCTTAATAAAAGATAGACTTTGAGGGGATAATACAAGAGAAATGGCCACCAAAACCACTCAAGGCACAATTAATCAATGAATATGTCCAAAAGGAAACAAATTTTGTCTGCTTTGAAATGAGTATTTGTTTCTGACTGATTTTTGAATTTTTAGGCAGAGTAGTAGGTCATATTTTACCCTTTGTCTGCACCACCCTTCGTAAGTCTTTGTAAATGGAATTGTCCTTATTTTCCAGCCAAATGGTCCAAAGGAACTTTGCCTTTAAGGAGGTTGACTTGATGTTTATCCTTTTGTTGTCTGGCACTATGGTTCTTTTTTCAAGAAAGTGGGTCTATAGAGAAGGCTGTGAGGATTCAGATTTTCAAAGGCACAAAAGAATTTCTTACAAGCTGGAGTTTAACAACTTTTTGGCAGAAATTGCATGGTTCACTTCCTTTATAAAATTGTAGAACAGTTTGAGTTGGAAGAGATCTTTAAAGATATCTAGTACAACCCTCTGACACGGAAAAGGACATTTCCACCAGACCGGGTTGCTCAAAGCCCCATCCAACCTGTCCCTGAACACTTCCAGTGATGGGGAACCCACAGCTTCTTTGGGCAACTTGTTCCAGTATCTTGTCATCCTTGTAGTAAAAATATTTCTTCTTTATGTCTTGTCTAAACCTACCCTCTTTCAGTTTAAAACCACTCTCCCTTGTCATATCACTACATGTCCTTGTAAAAACTCTTTGCTTTTCTTTTAAGTCCTTTTAATAAAGGCTGCAATAAGCTCTGCCTGGAAGCAAGCTGAACAACCTTCACAGGAGAGGTGTTCCAGCCTCCTGATCATTTTCATGGCCCTTCTCTGGATCTGTTTCAACAGGTCCCATCCTTCTTATGTAAAGGTCCCCAGAGCTGGCTGCAGTACTCAAATGGGGTCTCATCACAGCAGAGTACAGGGGGAGAATTCCTTCCCTCGACCAGCTGGCCAGGTTTGATTGGTTGGACCAAATAAGCTTCAGTTGCTTTCTGAATTCCCAGATGTGTATTTGTGTGTGCTTAAAAATCTACCACAGTCCAAAACCAGGCATTGGTCAGACATCAAAAAACTTGGAAAACAGGAGATCGAACTTCCTGTTCCAGTGCAATCTTTGCAGGGCAAATTACTGAGGGATAATGGGGCTGGCCCAAGATAAATGTTTCTGTCAGACAACAGATTTAAATCAGGAAGGCATTACCAGACAGTTTTCTATTAATAAAACTGCAGTATATGCTATGGCATTTATTTATAAGATAACTGTGGGCTGATATTTCATTTGTTGTTTGCCTTACACAGAATGAATTTAAGTTGCTAAGTGGAACTTGTTTCACACAGACAAAAGCTGCAATCAATGAGGGGCGGAGAAGCATGCAATCCCAGCTTTTCAGATGCAGAAATGCATTTTACAATTATGAATTGTTCTTTTCTAAAATAAGATTTATATTATGCTGCTTTTGAATATTTAAATAACTTATGTACATTGCATGGGAGCAAAGATGACATTTTAGTGTCAGGGAGCTTTATATAAAATGATTTTCTAATGAGTCCTTGTCTAGTTCAGAATTTTCTACAAAATCTCATTTTTTCCATGCTGATTTCAATGTCATGCCTCCAGCCATGCAATTGAAGCTCTGTTGATGTGCCACATCAACATAAAATAAGAGGAAATTTCACTTAATTGGGATGTTTTGATATTTGTCCTAATGCATTTCTTGGTCATATGTATTGTCATAATCCAAATTCTGGATGTTGGTCTTTTTCTATGTTGAGCAACAGGGTTATCACTAGAAATTTCACTGAGCTCTGTGTTCATATTTCCACCTTTAGAACACTGCAATCCTAAATCCTTGATCCACAACTTGCTTGAGACGAGTTTGAATGATGTAGTATTTAGCCTATCTTCAGTTGCCTCTTCCTCATCACCTTTTAGGCACATTGTAGTCACGGTTCTTGAGCCAAACTATGCTTTTGTTTATATCTTTCAAGTAAATTGCGACATTTAAGTACCAGTTATACAAGCATTTTGACTTTATTTTTTACTTTACAGAAGGAGACTGGAAGATTACTGTAGTCACTGGGGATTTTGAAACAGCTGGCACAACAGCAACAGTATCCCTTTACGCTTATGGAGAGAACAAAGCTTCTGGTCCTATTATTTTGGGATCTGGGAAACACCAGCTGTTTAATCCCAGCAGTGAAGATACATTTAAGGTGTAGTATGGTTGTTATGTAAACTCCAGAGAATTGAAAACATATGCAATATGGCTTTTCTCAAAACAAGATAATAGAGGTAATAAAAAGGACTCAAAGTAATATGTAAGGATCATAAGTATTTCTGAGGGAGTGGCTGATTTTTTATGATAGTGAGTTTTAAATCAGCCGATGTATTCACAACTGCATCAAGTAGACGTCTCTCAGAATCTGCTTCATACTTGCACCTGCCTAATGTGTTAGTTTACACTAGATGTTGTTCATTTGAAGAGGTAAAAAGAACTTTCTTTATCTGGTCTTTAAATTCATGAAATAAGATAGTCTTGGTTATGGCTTGTGTTGCAAGTTCATCTTTGGAAGTGTCCACTGTAAATTCTTCCATGAACTTCCTCGGACTTCCACTGAAGCACACTATTGTGTGAACCTTTTCTTGGAGAAAGTAAGAAGGAAAGGGAGGATGGATAGGGACTAGAATAAAATCACACAGAGTATGTTAACTCATGTGATTCAGACTGGTGGTGTCCTGCTTCTCCAAGCAAATGGAGAGACTTCTATCTATGAAAAAATCTCAGAGATGTCCTTCAGAAACATGACATTTCTCAGGACTTCTGCAAGATTGTATAATTCCTGCAATTTCCTCTAGTTCATGCAGTTCCTCAGTCAGGATTGAATCTGTTACGGTAGTTAAAACTGTGATATGTCTTTTAGGTTGAAATAATTTATGCATAATAAACAGATGATGGAGAATCAGTGACAGATGGGACAGGAAGTATCTGTGATTTTTTAAATTTTTTTTTACTGTTTGAAGTATAAATAAGTCCTTGCAGAAGAAAGGCAGTGATGGTCTTCCCCTTACATTTTTTTAAGTAGAAAGCAACTTGGCTAAATTTGCAGATAATGATGTTTTAAGATTATCTCATATCAAAACAGGAAGGTGAAATCAGTATACCTGAAAACTAAATTTAAATATTCCTTTTCAAATCATTCTGGCTGTAAGATCTTCTTGGATATTTATTGAGCTGGTTAATGCTGTCTGACACCAGTTCTTAATCATTTATTCTGTTCCTTGAGGGAAGAACCAAGAACATTTGTTTGCTTGCTTTCTCTTCGGAAGGAGCAGTATACATCCCAAAGCATCATTTTTATCCTCCCAACAACAAAGCAAGATTGACACCTGCTCCAGGAGTTCTGATGATTTCTATCCACATCAACATTTATGTTTAGGTGTGATATACCGCACCTTGGTTTTGTGCCTGATGTTTTTCTTTGGTGATATACCATTGTACTGAGGAGTACAACTTAAACCTTTTATAAAACCTAACTGTGTAATCAAACCTGTAAATTCATGTGTAACCATACCATCAGAGCTTCAAAGTTGACCAGATGTTTGTCCATCCATTGTGTCTCAAAAGCACTTAACGCTGATCAATGGGAAGAGAAAGAAAAGAACACTTTCCTTCTTAAATGTCTCAATTTAATAAGGTAGCTGAGCTTTTTGTTAATCCAAAAGAAAACTGTGTACTCCAACTATTTCAGCACTTCATATTGCAACAGTTTTCTGTTGCAGCCCGAGGGAATAAGAGTCCGACCACTTCGGAGACAGAGGTAAAATGGCACTTTATTGAAGGGAGAACTCTGCTTAAATAGGGTAGGGAACCAAAGGTACTGGAAAAGTAGGCAGAACTAGGGAGGAGTTGGGGAGAAGTATGCTAATATGAACCAATGAAGAGGGAAAATGGGAGGAGAAAACCATAAGGAATTACTAATTAATTAGGTACTGCAGTGCAGCAAATCCTAACCAATCAGGGGAAAGGGAGAAAACTGGGGTACAGAACACTGAGGGATTTTATAAAAAACTGAGGAGTAAGGGTACAATGAAGGATGAAATACAACAAACATTAAACATGAACATGAATAGGAAGCGTATGAACGTTCCTTAGACGAATGTAAAGAAGGTGTTTACTACAGAGGTTCTGCAGATTTCTTCACATATTTCTATGTTCTTTTTCCTTTGCTCATAGTCAAACCTCTCCTGTACTCCCACAGTTTTCCAACATTAAGAGCATCATATAATAACATCAGTAATTCTAAAACCTGTGGAGTTGCAGAAAAATTTGATAGCACCTCTTAGTTTTGATTACTAGTTTAATCTATTAAGTTTGGGAACCATCTTGACTAAATGGCCCTTGATTTGCAGTCTTTGTGTAGAAATGTGCTGCATATTCGAAGGCTATTTAAACTCTAGGTAACCTTTTTTTTTAAATGAAGTGTTAACTGATGCAAGTTGCTGCGAGAGTTCAGCATAATATAGTGGAAAAAAATAAAGTTCAATCATGCCTCACAAAAACAATCAAAGTGCCATATCATTTCAAAATCCCTCTGGTCAAAAATACAACCATAAGAAATGACAGAGAATTGGCTATACAAAGAGAATGAGACAAAACCATACTGGATTGTCTGAATAAAAATCAATAGTGGTAGTCTGATAGAAAGTACAGTCAACTGCATAGTAACCTAAAAGTAAATTATGAATATTCAGTAAAGATAAAAATAATGAAAAAAGAAAGAAAGTTATTAAAGCTTGAGTGAATCAACTTGTGCTCCTTTATATCTGACATTTCATTGCTCATCTAGAACTTGATTTTCATGTTACTTGTATTGCTGTATAAAGCCAGCGTAACTTCATTAACCTTGGCTATCTCTGATTAAGGTTTGCGTAAGTTAAATTAAAAACTGGCCAGACTCCAGTGTAGTGTAGGTAGAGTGTAAGAAGGCTATTACCCTTGGAGATCTCTATATGATGATATTCATTGAAGGTAATTTACAGATATTGTGTGACGGAGAGAGTTCTTGTTTCTGACTGGAGACTTGGGTTCTAGGTTCCACAAGACAGTCATGTGTAAACTGCACAATATTTGCCCTTGAGGCCTAGCAATTTTTCCTACAGATGAGTATGTCAGGGATGAACAATATGGGAACATTAAAAAAACAGTGTTTAACTTTGATGGGTTTCCCTTTCTGCTCTGCAATTGTTCCTGTGTGTTCCAAGAAACTACTTCTAGGCTACAGTTTTCTGCTTCTCTTGCTATTCAGGGATAGTTTTAGGGCATAATTTTTCTGTTGAGAGTAATTCCTCCTCCAGTAAAGGGATATCAATCTACCATAAGTTACAGCTTTCATCACAAGTGTGATCTGTTTCCTGCATTTTCCTCTGGTGTCATCACAGTCCCTGATTACTTCTCAGTATTTCAAAAATACTGATTTTGGCAGAATGTTGAGTTGCTCAAGACATTGAAGCTTTAATTATATTGTAAATTATATTTTCTGTAGCCCTGTATTCTGCATCATCATTCTTTGAAACGTGGTGAATTATCTCTTATGAGTGTACACACTGTTTGATAAAGAAATTCTTTTTATAAGTATTCTTTTAATGTTTGGTCATGCCAAATATTCCCTTCTGTGTCAAAGAGAACTAAGCAGAAGTCTGTAAGCCTATTATCTTCAGTAAAAACCAGCTGCAATCTCTCAATTTTTATTACTTCAATACATAATCATTCCATACCTTCAGGTACAAGTTCTGCTGCTCCAGTAATAATGAAGTCAGTAAAAGCACTGACTGGTTCTGCAGATCTGCTTTCAAAATACTGCTTATCTTAGTTGATAGTGGCAGGACCTAATACTTCCTTAACAAGAATTTTTCCATGCTTTGCTTTGTGAGTTTGCTTCATTATGAGCTCTGCAATCTCTTAGGGCAGTGTTGGTCTTACCAATCTTGACACATTGTCCAGTTTATCTTAAATAATAATATATTAAACTACTAGAAAGGCTGGAATTTTTTCCTAATATATTTTCAAAATCTTTGCTTTAACCTTATTTTATATTTTGTAGTTGATGGCTGTCTTTCTAAGGAAGGTAGTTGTTCCATGTTTACAAGTATAGAACATGGAGTATGCATTATATTTTAGGAGCATTGGAAACTGGAATCTATCCCTGATGGGAATTTTGCTGCACGAACCCATTTCTCTAATTTGTAAAGACGATGCCACATCCAGTCACATGATTTAAAGTTTCCTCTTCTGTACAAATAATCCTTTAAACACTGCTGTGCTCCACCAGGGCAAATACCAGAAAATAGTATGGGTACATGAAAAGCAGGTCTCCTCCTAATACTTGCAGAGGTACTTGATCATAAAAATTAATAAACAGTGTTCCTGTGATAAGATTGTTAAAGCTCTAAACCCAGCCTTTTTCCTTCCAGTTAAATGTGTTTTGTTTGTAAAGAATTGTGTTCATCAGGTGCACCTTAGGCTGTACTGCATTACATGAAGGTGGTACACTTAGAAGTTTATCTGTCGTTTTTCATTTTGGTTTCCTCCCGTTTAAATACAATAATCAGTGATTTTAAATAACCTATACACAAATAATTAAAACTCCTTTCTTTAGAATCAACCCTACAGACTCTAAGAATCTGTTGGGTTTCATTGTGTGTCTTTCATTCCTCTATCCTGGATTCGTAGTTATTCATTCATGAGTCAAAACTGAGATCTCTAAAGTAAAATGAGAAGCAGTGAGGAGAAAACTAAATGTTGTAAAAATAGGTTGAAACAAATCCATTTTCATGCTTTTTCTCCTATTGTTCGAATAAAAGAGCCTGAAATGAGCTCAGTGAGAATCCTTCCGAACTGGGAAGATTGCAGAAGTTAACACAAGCACTGACGTAGCTATCCACTCTCTTAACCGTGAGACTGACAATGCCTAAAAGCTGGGCAAAACTTGTGTCCTGTTATTTTCCAGCTGTCCCTGTTTGCCATAACAGCCATTTAGGTCCAGAAACAGTGGAATAAAACCTAGGGAAACCCAGGTTTTAGTCAGAGATGCTTAAGGTAGCACAAAACGATCATACTCATGGCTTTAACTCGACTTGAAACTGTCTCTGTCTGTGAAATGCATATGATGACAAGATGAACCTCATTCCTTACTGAGATAAAAAGGAGAAGTAT